CTGGCCCTGCACGTGTACCCCGGTTTAGTGAATGCTCTAGGAATCCTGCCTCGAAATTCCATAGGAACCGGCCTCAGTTTCACAGTCACATAGGTGAATCTATCAAGAGTACTCCTGTAGCCTAGGTACTCCCTCATACAGAGTATAGATCTCATTAAGATTTTCTATTATCCCATCCTCTCATTACTTCAGGATTCATGCTTTACTTGCATGATCATTTTCATATTACTCACAACTTGTTATTACCCATTGAACCTAAGTCTTGGGATCTCCAATCATTTAGGTCGGGTTACCATCATGAGTAACTAATTGCTTTATAGGCATTAGTCCCATCTTTTTGGAAGTATTATGGACTTTCTCTCTAGCTAATCCTTTCGTCAAAGGATCTGCTAAGTTCTCATCAGTGCGTACATGATCCACTCTCACAGCTCCTTTAGAGATACAATCTCTAACAGTGCTATGTTTTCTTCTAATTTGACGTCTTTTACCATTATAATAACGGTTCTCAACTTTTGCAATAGCCGCGGTACTATCGTAGTGGATCAACACAGCTGGTATAGGTTTTCCATAAAGGAATCTCAGCTAGCAAGCATCTTAACCAACTTGCTTCTTCACTAGCTGTAGCTAATGCTATCATCTCAGACTCCATTGTGGACTGTACCAGAATGGTCTGTTTCTTTGATTTCCAAGATACAGCTCCTCCGGCTATACTAAATATATAACCACTAGTAGCTTTGGAATCATCCGATAAGGTGTTCCAATCTGCATCACTATACCCTTCTAGTACAACAGGAAATTTCTAATAGTGTAGGCCGAGGTCCATAGTCCTTTTAAGGTACCTCATTACTCGCTCAATAGCTTGCCAATGTTCGTTACTCGGCATACTTGTAAATCTGCACAACAATCCTACGACATATGCAATGTCGGGTCTAGTACAATCAGTGGCATACCTAAGACTGCCAATGATGCTCGCATATTCTGCTTGTTTGACACTTTCTCTAGTGTTCTTAAACTGTTTCACACTTGGATCATACGGAGTGCATGCAGGTTTACAATCAAAGTATTTATATGTCTTTAAGATCTTCTCCACATAGTGAGATTGATCCAAAGAAATTCCTTGGTCGGATCTCGTGATCTTGATACCCAGGATCATGCTTGCTTCTCCGAGGTCTTTCATATCAAAGTTATTGCATAACAATGATTTCATAGTATTAATGGCCTGAATGTTTGATCCAAATATAAGTAGATCGTCTACATATAAACATATGATAGTACAAACGCGATTCTCAAATTTGTAATAAACGCACTTGTCACTTTCATTCACTTTGTATCCATTAATTATCATTAAGTTATCAAACTTTTCATGCCATTGTTTAGGGGCTTGTTTTAGTCCATACAGAGACTTATCTAACTTACAGACCTTGCTTTCTTGTCCTTGGATCACAAACCCTTCTGGTTGTTCCATATAGATTTCTTCTTCTAAGTCACCGTTTAAAAAAGTTGTTTTAACATCCATTTGGTGTACTATTAAGTTATAAATGGCTGCTATTGAAATGAGTACCCTAATGGATGTAATTCTAGTGACCAAAGAAAAAGTGTCAAAGAAATCTATATTTTATCTTTGTCTAAAACCCTTGGCTACAAGGCGAGCCTTGTATTTCTCAATCGTTCCATCAGGTTTTAGTTTCTTTTTTAAAACCCATTTACAACCAATTGGTTTGCAACCCGGAGGTAAGTCTACTAGGTGCCAGGTCTTGTTAGATTCTAGAGAATCTATCTCATCATTAATGGCTTCTTGCCATAAGTCTGCATCCATAGATGACAGTGCTTCTTGAAGATTTATTGGATCTTCTTCTACATTATAGGCCGCATAATCGGGCCCATAGTCTTTAGAAACTCTTGCTCTTTTACTTCTTCGAAGTTCTGTTTCTACATTGTCGTTGCTTTCAGTGCTTTTTATCACAAGAATGTGACTCGATTGTGTGCCCCCACTATTTCTCGATTTGAAAGGAAATTTATCTTCAAAGAATTCAACATCGTTTGATTCTATAATTACTCTGGCATTTAGGTCATAAAACCTGTATGCCTTACTGTTTGCTGCATACCCACTGAATACGCATTCATAGGCTCTACTAGCGAGTTTAACTCGTTTCGGATCTGGAATTCTGACATAAGCCAGACAGCCCCAAGTTCTTAAATAAGAAAAATTTGGTTGTCTTTTCTTTAATATCTCATAAGGTGAGATCTTACTTTTTAACTTGGGAACTTTATTCAGGACATAGCAAACAGTCAATAAAATTTCCCCCCACCAGTGAGGTGCAGCACCAGAATTCAACATGATTGCAACTACAAGTTCAGTAAGAGTCTTATTCTTTCTTTCTGCTTTACCATTCATTTCAGGAGAGTATGGAGCAGTCGTTTCATGTATAATACCATGTTCAGCATAAAAATCATTAAACAAGCTAGAGTCATATTCGGTTCCCCTATCACTGCAAAGTCTCTTAATCTTCTTGTTAAATTGATTCTCAAATTCAGTTACATACACCTTAAACATGTCAAGCGCTTCACTTTTATTTTTCATTAGATATACATAAGTATAATTAGAGCAATCGTCAATAAAAGTGATAAAATAAAGTTTATTATTTCTAGTTAATCTTCCATCTAATTCACATATATTAGAGTGTATAAGATCTAGGGGGTCAGATTCTTTTATAATTGACTTATGTGAAGTTTTTGTTATTTTAGCTTGACTGCAAAATTCACATTTATTAGAATCATTAACATTTAGTTTAGGGATTAGGCCTAAGTTGCTTGCATTAGAAAGGATTCGTTTATTAACGTGACAAAGTCTACCATGCCAAATATTAAAGTCACACAAAGAGTAAACAAAAGGAGAAATTTTATTCAAATCAACATTCAACTTAAACATGCCATCAATGGCGTACCCTTTTCCAACAAAAATACCATTCTTAGTGATGGTGTACAAATCTGCCCCTAAAGTTTGACTAAACCCAGCCTTATTCAAAAGAAAACCAGAAACAAGATTCTTCCTAATTTCAGGAACATGCATGACGTCCTTCAAGATCAAAGTCTTTCCTGAAGTGAACTTCAGCTCAACATCTCCAATTCCAGCAATATTAGTGGTGTGAGCATTTCCCAACAACACTTTCTTATCTTCAGCATTCATGTATGTCTTGAACATAGCACGATCATAGCAGACATGACGAGTGGCGCCAGTGTCTATCCACCAACCATCACTTCCACCAACCATGTTGATTTCAGTGATCATGGCAATGAGTTGCTCATCAGTCAGGTTGACCTGAGCATTTGAGCCAGCTGCAGGTTTAGGCCTGCTCCTACATTTCTTTGCCATATGGCCCGGTTTCCCACAGTTGTAGCAAGAAAAAACCGGAGCGTCATTTCTTTAAGGTGGTGGTTGTTGCTTAGCAAATGGAGCCGATGGGGCCCTAGAGGGATTCCCATTCTTAGTTCGGTTCATAGCATTGCGGTTCTGATTCTTTAAAGGTTTGCCCATAGGCTTCAGAACCGCACCGAATTTCTTTTTGTTGTTAGACACAACTAAGACTTCTTCTTTTTGATCTTGTTTCCGAGCCTCCTCTTCAATTCGGAGACGAGTTATCAGACTCTCGATTGAAAATTCTTTTGTTTTGTGACGAAGCACATTTTTGAAATCTTTCCAATCAGGGGACAGTTTGTCAATAATTACAGCAATTTGAAATTGTTCATTGAGGGGCATACCTTCTGTAATGATCTCATGAGCAATCTTCTGAATTTCGTGGCTTTGAGCTTCCACCGACTTCTCATCCACCATCTTGTAGTTCAAGTAGCGGCTGACAGCAAATTTCTTCGCACCTGCTTCTTCAGTATCATATTTTCTTTGCAGAGCCTCCCATACCTGTTTAGCAGTTCTGTAGCTACTGTAGTAGTCGTACAGATCATCAGCAAGGCTGTTCAGAATGTGATTTTTGCATAGATAATCATTCTCGTGCCATAAGGCGATTTCTTTTCGGAGCTGCAAATCATCTGCTGCAACCTTAGCTTTTGCAGCATCTGCTGCAGCCTTAACTTTTGTAGCATCTGAGTCAGACATTTTGGAAATCCCGTCTGAATCTGCAGGTGAGTTACCATTAGGTAGTTCAGATGATGCAGAAGGGACAACCGGGATATCCTCAGTCAGAACGTGGGCAACCTTTTTCAGAGTTAAGAAAAATTTCATCTTAGCTTGCCAACGTTTGAAATTGGAACCCTCAAACCTGAAAGGTTTGTCAGAGACCGAAGCGGCCGCAGTAGTACCGATAATTTCCTCAGTTGCCATGGCAGTTATGATAACGTCTTAAAATTGTTGTTTTCGGATTTAAAAATTGAGTTTGGCACAAGGAAATTATCGGGACGAGTCGCGTACTAGGTCGCTTTCTTTAAGACGTTTCGCCGTACTGTCAAATTATGCAAAGCAGTCGATTTACGACGACGCCTCCAGGATAAAACAACTCGTTCTTAAAACTTACGATTATCAGTTGCACACTGATAAATCGCTCTAGAAATACACCTTTCTAAATTAGTATCTGGCGCAAATAACCAGTCAAGAAAAGAAAAAAATTGTAACATGAAGAGAATAAAGGGAGAGAAGAAGGAAATCAAAATTTGTGTGAATTTGTGAAATCCGATGTGCTCACTACTGAATTTCTACCCTGTATTTATAGGCAGCTAGTAAGGCTTAATTCCCATTCCCTTCAATGTGGGACTAAAATGAATCTTAATTTTCATTCCCTTCAATGTGAGACTAAAATGAATCTTAATTTCCATTCCCTTCAATGTGGGACTAAAATGAATCTTAATTTTCATTCCCTTCAATGTGGGACTAAAATGAATCTTTTCAAATTCACTTCTATATTAGTTCTTACTTGTGTTCATTTATTGCTCATTAATTGTCAACAAATGTTTCCAATTCCCACTCTAATTAATTAAAGTTCCAACATAAATCAATCTATTTTGTCTCTCGGGGGTAACAATGCTCTATCTGGTTGAGGCACCTCAGGATAATCTTCCAAGATTTTGTTATTACTTTGCAATAAAATCTCAATTTCAGCCAAAGCATAACTCTTCAATTGATCATCAGTCAAGACCAAATCTGCAAATTAATATAATATACACTTAATAAAAATAGCTATTATGTATATATAATATAAAACATTAAAAAAAACACTTAATATCCTAAATGTGATACTACGGAACAAAAGTATACTGCGGAAGGTTATAGAAAAATCTACAATTAATATAATATAAAAAACTACACTTAATATAGTATAAAAAAACATTAAAAAGTATACTATGAAACAAAAAGTATCCTAAATGTGATATGTTATATATACACACACAGAAAACAAACTACCATGCATCAAAATAAAAAAATAAAAAAGATAGAAAAAAATACCATGAAAACATAATAATTCTCTTTGTCGGTGCAAAATATCATCAGACAAATACTCCCGTGTCTTATTCCAAACAAAATCTGGTCGACTTATTTGATTTGACACTAACAAAGTGGCAAATAAACTGCGTAAAAAGCTCTCGATACCCCAATGACTCGCCTCCATAACTGCATCTACAAACTCTTTGTCATCGTCCAGCAATCCTAAGGCAAAGCAAGTATCCTTGAAAGTATTATGCTTTATATTATTAACTATTTTGATATTATCATAAGATGTAGGACCCTTCACATAATTCAACAAAGTTCTCAAATAAAATAATTGTCCAGATCCAGGTGTTGCATAATGTAGTCTTCCAACTGAAAAACCCCTTTGACGTGGAGTCCATCGATGCTCCTTTTCTTTCCATACAAACTTTGTAGGAAACTCACTGTATGTACGATTTCTTGCCTCTGGATATTTTTTGTTAGCATCCATCCATGCCAAAAATTTGGTGGAGTCTATATATGGTTTATTTACTACCTTTTCAATTAGAGCATCATCTGGAAAAATAACGCATTGCTCGTCCTCAAGATGAAAACTCAATCTTTCAGCCGATGGCTCCCTGTAATTGATATCAAACGAAAATATCCTCCAAGCAGCTTCACATGATGATAGATATCTACAGTCATAATACATGCTGAATTGATGTCTTTACAATTATTCCCTGTAATTTTATGTTTTTTTAGTAATAATATTTTAAAATTATATATATTATTATAATGTTATTTATTATATTAAAAATCTTAAATATTTATATTTTTCTCTTATAAGTAGGGACAAAAAATATTTTAAAAAAATCTGACAGGGAGTAAGTTTTAGATAGGAAAACCCAAATAAAATAGATATTACTTTATCAATTTAGTCCTATCAATTAATATTATTTAATCTTTTTATCTTTTAACATTTAGAATATTTGTGTGTCCAATATGTTTTTGTAGTGTGATTTCAATTGCTTTAGCTGTATAGGTTAGAAGTTAATGCAACTTTTAGATTCTGGTATAAGGTTTAAAACAAATTATTTTGTTTTTTTTAGTAATAATAATATATAAAGCTAAATACTTTTATTAAATAAGTATAAGCTTTAAATCAAATTATTTTATGTTTTTTAGTAATAATATTTTAAAGTTAAATTTAATCTTTAACTAATTAAAATTATAGATATTATTATAATATTATTTATTATATTAAAAATCTTAAATATTTAGATTTTTCTCTTATAAGTAGGGACAAAAAATATTTTTTTTCTCACAGAGAGTAAGTTTTAGATAGGAAAACCCAAATAAAATAGACATTATTTTATCAATTTAGTCATATCAATTAATATTATTTAATCATTTTATCTTTTAACATTTAGAATATTTGTGTGTCCACTATGTGTTTGTATAGGTTAGAAGTTAATGCAACGTTTCAGATTCTGAAGATTCAATGCATGAATGAATTGGATCCAGACGAAATGATTATAGTTATTTCTTAAGTAACCATAGGCATATTCAATGCATTAAATGATTGTATTATAGTACCAAGACTAATTATTATAATTTTTTATTTTTTCATAATATACTGTTGTAAATCATAATTATAATCCATTTTAGATCTAGGAAATTAAAACGGTCAAGATGATAAACCGTGTTATATTTAAATCGCCTCAATGATCAGAAAACCGTTTAAAAACCAGCAAAACCGATATAACCGGCGGTCACCAACTAAAAATGGTTTAGCCATGTGAGACATTTAGGAATAGTAAAAATTAGAATTAAGAACACTTAGACATAGTTAGTGTTTGGTTATCCTGCTTTATTTTTTCATCACTTTTATTTGTTTTAATAGTGATTTTTATTTATTAATAATTTATTATATTTATATTTTTAATAATTTTGAAATGTAGCACAAACGTGCAAGTATTGATATAATTTAATACTTTATTTATGTAGGAAAACCCAAATAAAAGCTAATTACTTTTATTAAATAAGTATATAAAACTAAATATTTTTATTAAATAAGTATAAGGTTTAAAACAAATTATTTTGTTTTTTAGTAGTAATAATATATAAAGCTAAATACTTTTATTAAATAAGTATAAGGTTTAAAACAAATTATTTTATGTTTTTTTAGTAATAATATTTTAAAGTTAAGTTTAATCTTTAACTAAAAAAATTATAGATATTATTATAATATTATTTATTGTATTAAAAATCTTAAATATTTAGATTTTTCTCTTATAAGTAGGGACAACAAATAAAAAAAAATTTCTCACAAGGAGTAAGTTTTAGATAGGAAAATCCAAATAAAATAGATATTACTTTATCAATTTAGTCATATCAATTAATATTATTTAATCATTTTATCTTTTAACATTTAGAAATTTGTGTGTCCAATATGTATTTTTATCTGTGTATTTTACGGGTCCAACCATGTTTCTATTTAAACATATAAGTTTATCACAAACATAATTCTCATATTCGTAAAACAAATCAAAACATTAAAACAAATGTCATATTTGGCATTAACTTGGTTCAACAACTGATAAATTAAAAAGAAAATAACTGCAAGACACAACAAATATTCTTCAACAGGCAGGCCACTCAATCAGATTTTTCAAGCTTTACACATTTAGAATCTTTGACAACCGATGAAGCACCACCATTGATATCATTCACAGCAATTGATTCAGGACTATCAGACAACATATTCCCCAATGTCTTGCTTGTAGGTGTATTTCCAGAATCTGCAGTAGTCAATTCCTCTTTGTTTGAATCACCACCTTCAATTGCCTCCTACATATATAATTCAATAACCATAAAAATGATATAGTACACAAATTGTAAAATCATTTGAACGTGTTAAAAAAATTAAAAATTAAAAAACAACTTATATACCATAACATTATTATCAGCAACTTCACTTCCTATCTGAACATATTCAGCATCTATATCCGCATCATTCAATTGTTATATATGTTTGAAAGAGAGAGTTTTTCTTAAATTATCAATAAAAAAATAAGGAATATCAATAGATTCCAAATTTCATACATTTATCTCATGCAATGTTAAAAACTGATTGATTATCTCCCTGTCTTTAGTCAACTTCTTCACAGTATAATTGCGCCAATTACGAAATAAATTGGCATCAGTAACTTCTACCTTAAACAACATTCGCTTGTCCACAAATACATCAAGCTCCGGTGGATAAGCTAAATCCTATAACAAAAGAAATAATATCTAAATAAATTATGTTAACAAATTATTAAATACGTTAATTTTGATATCGTAGCACTAAATCCACCAATTATATTACATGATTCATGTTATCCAACAGATCTTGTACATTTCTTCCTAAAGCTTGAGAAACCACCCTATCAAATAGAGTAAAAGTTGTTGATCCAGAATTATCAATTACTTGAACATTAACCTTGAACCTGAAAATTTATACTAAATTAATTCAAGGATGTGAATTAAGCAAAGTGCATCCAAGTGAATTTTTATGACTGTAATAACTAAATTACTTGCCTAGGAATAGCAGTCCTTGGTAGTTGGCATTTCTCACAGTAAATAACTCCAGTTCTAGTAGTAACCTTTGATGCACACTTTGTGCAAGCTTGATAATACCATCCAAGATCTGTCTCAATTTCACATGTTCTTGCTAGAACAGTAGCAACACATTTCTACCATTTGTTCACCATATGATGAAACCATAAAATATAAATCAGTAAAGTTTTGGAACATGTATATAAACATCAAAACTATCACATGATATAAAATTGATCATCGGGTTATACAACGCAAATAAAAAAACAAAATAAAATTACCTTAGTGGATTCTATCAAGTTCTCAATTGTCATTTTTTGTGTCTGGAGCAAGTCATCTGCTAGAGGGACAATTGTTGGACCAGACATTTGACTCACTCCTTGTGTGATTTCTATCTCAGTACCATTCATCCTAAACATGTTATAAATCATATAGTTTAATATCATTTAAAGAGATGAATAATATTATAAACTAAAAACAATTTGTTGACTTTATAAACTAACTTAGATATATAATTAACAGTGTCTATCAAATCCGCATTCAACATCATTTTAGTTCCATAGTAAGCATTAGAGACTCCCATAGCACCTGAAAAATTTACATATCAAAAATCATTTTTCTAAATATTCAAAATTGTCTACAATATTTAGACACATTTGGTACTCACCAAAAAACCTTTTTAGCTTGCATTGTTGAAGTATCATGATTATTGGATCAGAAGATTTATGGTTGTTCTTAAATTTCTGCATCATTTCTGCAAAATCCTTCCACAATGTGCAATGAATTTTGTTGCTCCTACATTATAGGTGTCAAGGTATAGCAATTTAGAATAAAACAGTATATTTACATCAAAATAAAAATAAATAAAGGTGTCAGACTTACTCTAAATCTTCAATAGTCAGATCCATAACCTTACTCTTTTTTTTTCATTTTTCTCAACTTCATTGACAACATTCGTTTCCACAACATGATCAATAATATCTAATATATACACACATTTAAAGAAGCAATTTAATATATGTTAAACTAATAAAAAAGAGGTAAATATTATCAATTCTATTATATTATACAAAGAGTTAAACTTACCAAGTAACCGGTCTTCTTTAGTAGGACTCAAAATTTCAGAGAAAGGTATGAAATCAAAATGATATTGAGGTATATCAGGAGCATTAACTTTGAATACTTTGGTTGATTGCATGAAATTCAGTTTGTACTTATGTGTCGTAGCTTTGTAGGAAGGGTGGTTGCTACCCACCATAAGATTTTCAAACATATGTGATGAACCTACTTCAATCTGCTCTTTAAATGTAGGAATCAAATTCTTTCTAACAGTGGCCTGAATTTTGCCGCACTAACAAACAAAAATATATAAAGGGCATAAGTTCGATAATATTGTTTCACAGATAATAAGTAATAGATAAACTTTGAATTTATATCTTATCATCTAGCAAGATCATATGAAAACTTCCTATATCTATAGAATTGTAGCGTTCAGGAAGTGCCCAATAGTGAATCACATGAACCCTTAGACGAAACTCAAACTTGCCAGGAACAATTGCAGAAACTGCAGTGATCTTGGGCGGTACGGAAGTTACAACTGCATTTTTTATAAGAAATAATCAATTAGTAAAAATATATGAACTAAAAATATATAAACTGATTAGCATCAAACGAAAATACTTTTGACACCTTTTGTAGACATCCTTGAACTCAACTAAGTATAGCAACCTTAACTTCAGTATTATTTTTAAACTTGGGATGTAGGAGTATTTGTTTGATAGCAACCACTATTTATAATAATAGCTTATGAAGAATAATGGATATGTGGGGTTGTGCATTTATTAATTGAGAGGCTCAAGACTAATGATAACCATTATGCATTGGATGTATACCTCTAGATTTACAAAGAATGTACTGTACATGTAAGAAGTCAGTGAAATTTTTTATTATATAAAACTTTGCATTGGGTGTATATGTTGGAGTTTAATGCAACTTTTCATATCTATAAAGAATTAATATGTGTGAAGTTAATGCAACTTTTAAAATGATTCATATTAATCTCTATGTCAGCAAATCAATAATAAATTTAAAATATTAATAAATATTAGTAAC